GCCTGCGCTCGCTGCCAGTCACGCGGTTGGATGCCGAACGCGCTGCTGCCGCTGCGTGCGGACAGCGCGACCACGGCCGGCCCTTGTCGGCCGTCCGACAATAACTTCCGAACAAACTGACCTCAAATAGCATGATATGAACACATGAACGTATTTATACTAAAAACATGAAGTTTGCTCAAAGGACTGAACTTGGCCGCGGCGGACGCACCGTGCGCCGCCGACGGCGTTGAGCCGTTTTACGACCGAACTCACTTTCTTCTCGGCAATTTAAACTTAACTGATCGTAATCAATGATCTACTGAATAAATCACATAAAATGCTCGAGGAAAAGGAATTTAACATACTGAACAATCGTGTACGGCCCGTGGTGCGCTACATGCGCAACCGCGTCACCTTTGGTCGAAACACCGCAAAACATGACTAATCATCCGAACACTTAAGCTAAACTAAACATAATTTTGCATATAAAGACTAAATATGCGAAGATGGTTCAGAGAATTTAACTTATAACATGACATGATTCGGCACGGCTTCTCGCACGGCCTTAAATGACAAAAGACACGCATGAAGACCGGAACTAAAAACTAAATTCAACTAGCATGATAATCTCAGCCTTACTACCGCCGGAAATTACCTTCAACAAAGATCAGGCGATATAACTCCCCGGATTCCCGTGCTCGGCGTGACCTGCCGCGTGTATTGCCGTGTGCGTGTCCTCGGATCACCGTGCGGATGTATACGGCTATGCGTGCGGAAGCTTGCGTGCGTGCAACGGACTACTACAACACTTGTAGATGCTTGCGGCTTGTGTGCAACACTTAAGATTTCTCACACAAAGCTCACTCACTTGACTATATATATGTATATGATGGCTGAGCTATTGAAGATTACTTACGGTTAGCTTATGTTGAACATGTATATGGGAAAAGATGGGAAAAATTCCCAAGACCTCATACTTATATAAGCACCGAATGAACAAGTGATGATGGAGTGATTATGTGGATGTAATTTGCTAAGGACACTTGGAGCTAAATTAAGATCATAACATAATGACTAAGACTTCTCTTAAGCCCCATAATGCCACGTTAAGTTACTTAAAAATGAAGAAATTTTGTGGACAGTTTCCCATTTAAAATTGCACGGCATATTGGACTAAATGGAAGGAAATTTGGACCAATTTCACTAATGTATGCCACTTAATACGTACAGCATTATGGAGGAAAAATTTGGAAAATTCAAGCGGTTTTAAAATTGCTAATATTGGATTAATTATTAATTAATCCCTCACATATGCTTAATTATTAAATTAAACATAATGCTTAATTACCAAAATTATTCCGAACGTAAACGGTACGTTGAAAATAATTTCTGGTAATTTCGACTGAACTGACTGAAAATAATTAATTCTG